AGGCTATGTTTGGAAGGTGGGCCATAAGCCGGACCTTGAATCAGAGCAGCGACAAGGAGCTGGGGCATTCCTGCTGGCAGGATTTTAGACAAAATCTCAGTGTAAGGGAAAAGTGGATGCATTCTTGAAGCTTCCTGACCCTTCACTGCTTCCCCTAAGATCTCTACTTTCTCTCTGTCTCAGATTCCAAGGAAAGCTTCTTGATTCTTGGTCAGCAACCTCTGTCTTGGCAGTGTGCTGTGTATCTAATGTGTGGATGGACTCTGACTCTCATGAGTCATTAGTGTATGTCCCTGGTCAGGCCTAACTCCTCAGCATGGTTTTCAAAGTTTTCTTATTGTAGCAGATTCCACACTTTCACCTTTTCCTGTCTGAGCCTTCCCTGAGTGTACTTGCTGTTCCTGTTTTCCATTTACCGGCTGCCTTTGGCACTTGTTGGCATTGCGAAATGTTTAACCCCCCCAATTGTTGGATTGCTCTTTGTTCTAAGTCATCTGTACTTCTCACACTGGGCTGTACACAGGGACCAACCCTGGTACACTGGACTGGCCTCCCTGTGTGAGAGCAATTGCCTTTAAAGCTCCGTTAGGCAAAGCATGTCTCTGCTTTCTAGTTAATACAGATGCCCCTGTTATGAGCCAAATGTTTGTCTCCCCCCAGAACACATATGTTGGAATCCTAATGCCCAGTACGATGGGACGAAGAGATGGGGTCTTTGGGAGGTGCTTGGTTAGGTCTGGGGGTGGAACCCTCATGAAGGGAATAGTGCCTTATAAACGAAACTCCCAGCCCCTCCTACCATGCAAGGACACAGCAGGAACTCTGTGATCCAACGTGTGCTGGCCATGCTGGCGTGCGCATCTTGGACATCCAGGCTCCAAAACTATAGGAAATAAATTTCTGTTGCTTCTAAGTACCCAGTCTGTGGTGTTTAGTTATAGCAGTTCGAACAGACAGCTCCTATCTGTTTCCTCCTTGGAGATGCACACCTGGTCCCTGCAAGCACTGCATTTGTGAGCCTTAGTGTAGTGGCATGTGCTTTGATATCCCTTTTTTAAAAAAGATTGTGGTCAAATATATATAAAGTTTACTATCGTAGCCATTTTTAAGTGACAATTCTGTGACAGCAAATACCTCACATCCGTGTGCAGCCGTCACCTCCATCCATCTCCAGAACTCCTTTTACATTATGGTAACTGAAACTTAATGCCCATTACATGCTCACTCCCCTCCCCTCCCCCAGTCCCTGGCAACCCCCTACTTCTGCTTTCCATCACTATGGATTTGATGCTCCAGAAACCTCACCTAGGTGGACTCACACCATATTTGTCCTTTTGTGACTGGCTTATTTCACTTACCACAGTGTCTTAAGATTCATCCATGTTGTAGTGTGTGCCAGAAAGCCTTTCCTTCGTATGACAGAATACATTCCATCTTGGGTAGATACTCTTAAATACTCTTTTGTGTAGCTCCATATTGGGGAATTTCCCCACCAAGGTGAAGCTTGTGGCCATATTGATCCCCCCTCCCGATTCACAAACCAGAGGTGGGTATGTTTCACACTGGGGTGGATGGCTCTCTGGGGTTTATAGGGGAGTTTTTCTCCCCCTTGTAGGTACAAGCAACAGAAGAACATTTTCCCCTAATGACTCTCAGGGGTGAGCATGTTACAGTCTATAGGGTGGTAATGGGAACTGTGGGCTGAACGTTACAGCTGGCCTGTGCCACTTCCCCCCTAAAAGGTTGTAAAAATGGGGGTGTATGTGAGTGAGGGATTATTGTTACCTTAATCATTTTTGAGTCTTGAGAAATTAATCAGTGTCCCAATGATTGTTTACATTAGGCCATACAAGAACCGATCCCAGGGTAGCCAGCTTCTCCAGCTGTTCACAGATGTTGAAAGGGGCCATCAGGAAAATCTAGGAGGCTCATGAAGCACAGAGTAGAGGATATTTTCCTAATGATGTGTAACTCATCAAAAATGAACTATTTGGTTTCTACCCCAAATTTTCTTTAATCCATGACCTTTATTTGCTCGGAAAGGAGGGAATTCAAAAATATACTGTGGCTACTAAACCTCTTTGAAAATGGTGGCTTTCTTCCTGGGGGAACTATTTTATTTAGCATTGTGTGTAATTTATAAATGACATAAAGTTGTTTGATGAAAATAAGGAGATGCAAGGTTGTCCCCATGTCACAGGCTTATTTATACTAATAATCTCATACTTTTTATGAGAAAAGGGTTTGCTGCACTCTGTTGACTCCAAACTAGCCACATTGAGCATTTGTTCACTTGTCTATCCATTCAACAAATTTTTATTAAAAACCTGTAAGAAGTCAAGTGTCTCAGTCACACTCACTCCAAAAGCAGGCCTGAGGCAAGGACATGGGTGCAGGCGCTTTATTTGAGAGATGACCCAGGAAGCAGAGCACTAAGGGGGAAGTGGGGCGGGGAGGGAAGGCAGGCAGAGGAAGGGCGCGTCACAGGTGCACGGTGCTCAGTCATGCTGCGGACCCCTGAGAGACCAGCTAGGGCATCCCAGAACTATCCACGTGCAGGACTGGGGGCTGGCACATTTATTCCTGTCCCTCAGTGGTTAAGGGTTACTCCTGAGTGCATTAATTTGTCTGCATACCTCTAGCGAAGTCCTGAATAGAAAGAAGCAGGGACTTGAGCGGGGAGCTGTCAGCTTCCAAGAACCTGTGTACTCAAAGGTGGGTGCAGAGGACATGGCGCTGGCTGTTGACAGTGTCTCTGTGCCACTGGGGCTAGTGCACAAAGCAGGCACCACTCTGCTCTCATCTGTAAATTTCCAGAACTTTAAACAGAAACACACAATCATAATTGTGATAAATACCTACAGGAGAAGTCCATGGTGAGTGCAAGATGGAGAGCCTGCCCTTGTCTGGGTTTAAGATTATTTCAAATTCCAACTAAATGGAGTCCTAGTTAGTTTGATTTGTTGAGTATTTACTTACAAACTATAAGAAAAGTTTTGAATTTGGTGTTGTGATTAATGCCTGTGGACCTTTGTGGTCATCCTAGGAGATGCCAGGAGTACACAGGATACCAGGCAGCAAACTGATTCCGGAGACTTTCCGAGGTTCTGACAGCCTGACTGGGGCTGGATTATTCTGACTGGACTGGCTGGGCAATTGCAATGGAATGATTTATACATGGATACATTTTTAAAAGGGATATTTATTTCCTAGTTATAAGAATGATATAGGTTTTCTCTAGAAAACAAGGCTATATATGTATATGTATACACACACACATACCCATATATATATATAATATGGTATGAATTATGCATAGTAATTATAATGTGTATACTATAAGTCTATGTGTGTATATATGTATTTATTTAGCAGAGAAAAATGGATTAAGGGCAGTCTTTTTTATTCCCATATATTTGATAAATCATCAATATAATATTCAGTTTCCCTCATCCTTGGGTGACCCTAACTTGCAGAGGTGTGAATTGGAGTCACAAATTACCTGAGTGTATGATCTAGCCAACCAATTGATAAGCAGGCTCATTTATGAGAAAAGTTCTGTTCTTTGGTGGTAGTTGTAAATCTGGGGATACATGAGAATTTCCAGGCCTCCTGACTCTTGTGAATATTGTAGCTGTATCATCAGTGAATGCCAAGATCACATGTGTATTTAAACACATTTCTCACATAGTCAGTTGAAATCACAGCAAATACCCAGTCTTACATCCTACTGAGTTGACATTACTTTTTGAGCATTGTGAATTTTTTCACTGTGCTCCTTTTGATGGCTGAATGATGCTCTGACTGATTTGATGTCCAAGTCTATCATTGAGATGCAAGTTGCTTCCAGCTTTGTGCTATTATAATCGATACTGCTGTGGATATCTGGAGCATTAACTCATGTCTGAAATTTGAAAATTTCCTGATACAGATTTCTAGAAGTGCAATTTCTGGGTCAAAAAGAATGAATATTTGTAAGGCTTTTAATAAACGCTGTCAAATGATTTTCCAGAAGAACTGAAGCATGGATATAAATATTTAGAAAGTCACTCAAACTCGTGAATTATATTGATTCATCTGTTTTATTAAAATAATCAATCTGGTTATATATTTATAACTTTTAGATGCTTTTATTTTCATTATAAAAGAAATAGGAGTTTATTATATGATTCTGGAAAAGAGAAAATGAAAAATATCAACTTGTCTCTATTCCACCAGGTGTAACACCAAAGGTTTTTTTATATCCATTTAACTAAAATATACTATAATTTTAAAGCATTTGCTATTTCTCTCTCTCTCTCTTTTATTTAGAGAACATGTGAACTTTGTGAATCTAGACGGGTAGGCATGTACATGTGAACACTTGTGTGTGTGTCTGTGTGTGTGTGTGGCCAGTGGGATGCTAGACATTTCCTTACGTTTTGCCTTCTACTGTTGGTATATTTTTCTTTGATTATTTTTTTAAACCAGGAATTTAGATGTGGTTTCAGAATGACTTATTTATATCCCGATATAATTTCTGAAGACTAATATACCACGATGATAAGCATGATGCCTTAGGGAGGAACTTGTATTTGTTTTCTAAAAGAGATTTTCAGAATGCTTTACAGACTGCAAAGAAGATAGTTTGGTGTGAGAATTTGTCTTTCTTCAAAAACAACTTTTTTCCATGAAATAAAAGAATAAAGTTGCCTATTGACAACACAAGCTTGGAAACTTGATTTCTTTGGTAGTAATTTCTCTTCCTCTCAAGTCAGAAGTAGGAGGGAGGGACAGGCAACCTTGAACCCCTCTGCCCTTTCATTTATTTACCTAATTCTACCAGGTTGACCATTGGAACCAATGAGTCGATTAGGTCAAATAGTTGACTAATGCAAGTTAAACAAGTTACTTGCTTTAAAAAAAAATAGAATAAAAGCAATGTTTTTTTCTTTTCAGCCACTCAATTGACCACAGAAACTGTCTCCTTCTTTTTCTCTCATTCTGTGTGAGGTGACCAGGACAGAGTGGTGGCCAGGACAAAAGAGCATGATAACACTTGAAGTTTTGGCTGACAGAAGGGTCGGAGGTCAGAAAAGCAAACCAAGATCAAGGGGCACAGATAACTGGGGGCAAAGCCCATGCAAACACTTGGTCACCGGGAGGCGGCAGGGCTGAGAAAGAGCAGGGGTGGGCTGGGCACTTGGCTGCCCTGCCGGGGAGGTGCTGGAATGGGGGCAGCTGCTTGCCCAGCCCAGCTGCACTTTCTCCCCTTCCCTCCTGATGAGAATGAGCCCTCGTTTAAGTTCTGCCTGGGGATCCCGTAGTTGCTGCAAACTGAAAGCCATTGGCGGAGAGGAACTGGTGGGCCGAGAGAATGCGGACTCTGCAAAGGCAGAGCTCTGATACTACTTTGGAAAAGACGGAGCGTAACACTTTTTGTCCAAGCCATACTAGGTTTTAAGAACAGTTTGATTCCCACTACAAGAAGGTGCAGGGCGCTGGGGGCAGGGATCTCAAGTTAGTGAGAGGCTGCTCATCTGTGCTCAGCCAAATCTAAGAGAAACCACAAAAGAACAAATGTTAATTGGAGACTCCACTTTTGACACATGCTTCTTTCAATCAGTCCTAGCTTGGGTTTTCCAGCAGCAGTGCGGAGACCAAGGCTTTGTGCAAGCAGTTTATTTGGAAGGTGATCCTGGGAAAGACCAGAAGGGAAGCGGGCGATGGTGATGTTGAAGGAAACCGATCAAGTATGTGTTATCAAGCAGATTGCCAGGGTGGGCAGCTGGGCTCAGTGTCTCCAGGGACCCCCAAAACCGTGCAGCGCAAGCTCCAGAGCTATCCCACCCGAGGGGAATGGGAGCTGAGCTATTCCTCCTTCCACTCTTTCCAGTTACCGGTCGAGGGTGTTCCCAGGGCACCTTCTCTCCCTGGCACGTCCTTGCTCTGGCAGAGTGGGCTCGTAGGGGCCAGACCGCAGCTAAGGGCAAGGACTCCAGAGTGGGGGTTGAGGCGTTCCCATCAGCGCTCCCGGCAATGGTGGGGGCTGAGGGACATGGCAGAACTCCAAGAGTGTGTGCTGCCAAAGGTGAGCCAGTGTCCTCAGTCGTTAAGAAAACTCGACACTGCACTCACAGAGGCGTGCACTATTCAGCCAGGCGGGTCCTCATTACTCACTCCCCAACTAATGACCAGTCCATCAGGTTCATTGACCAGAAGAGGCAAGAACGTTCTTTCTCTGTTATCCCAGCCTATCCATCTGTTCTCGTGGTTTTTGTTGTAAACCTCAGGAATGTGTCTCAAGTAACGAGTTTTTTTCCTTTTTTGGTATTAATTACCCCTTTGTTCAAGCCTGGAATTATAACGCAATGCAATATGAATTACAACTAAGACAGCACAAATCTGGATAAAGCCATCCAGGGAGAGAACTCAGTGGCCAGCCGTGGAACCACATGCATCTCTCTGCCAAGTCTGTGATTTGTGAGATAGCAACCTTCTGACAACTTTGATTTATGTTCCACATAATCATCTATTATCTTAATTTGTAACATTTCTTGGAAACGCCCCCCCAGGGCATGTTCTTTCAGAAGCTCAATTATGTGCAGTTAGTTGTTTGACAACACTCTTGGCAAATGGTTATTAGGAGGGAAGGATCTGCGTGTTTGACAGACAGCAGGCTTCTCCACAGGTGCCTTGGGAGGGTAACCCGGTGGGGACTCAGGGTGCCAGGGAAGCCACCTCAGAGTTAATGTAACATACTGATTAGCACGAAGACCTGCAAGTCCTGACTCAGGGGGCATAACACCCCTGATAAGGAGTGGCGGGGGGGCGTGGGAGCCAACAGATGTTTATTGAACATTTACTGTGTGCTAGACCAGTGATACCTTTGGTCTCAGAACCCTTTCCATGCTTGAAAATTACTGAAGACCACAAAGTGCTTTTATTGACATGGGTTATATCTATGACGAGTTATCCTATTAAGAATTAAAACGTTAAAAATGTATTCGCTCATTCCAAAAATAACCGTAATAAAACCATTATATGTTCACATAAATAACATTTTTTATGGAAGATGTGTTTCCAAAACAAAACAATATATAGCAGGCAGAGTGGCATTACTTTACATTTTTGCAAATCTTTTTATGTCTGGCTTGATGGAAGACAGCTGGGTTTTCCTAGCAGCTTCTGCATTCAATTTGTTGTAAGATGTTGTTTTGGTTGAAGTATATGAAGACAATCTGGCCTCACACAGATATATGGTTGGGAAAGGGAGGAGTTTTTTAATAGTGTTTCGGATAATTGTGGATATTTTTCTTTGATGTAATACCCAAACTTGACAAGTAGTGGTTTCTTTTGTTCTTCTCTTTCCTTCTTTCTTTTATACCATTTTAGCCATTTTAAGTGTCCAGTTCAGTGGCATTAAGCACTTTCACATTGTTGTGTAACCGTCACCACCATCTTTCCACAGAACTGTTTTCATCTTGCAAAACTGAAGCTCTGTCCCCAAGAGAGAGTCAGTCCCCCATCCGTGGGCTGAATTTGACTCATCACGGTCCCTCGTGTAAGTGGAATCATGTAGCAGTTCTCTTTTTGTAACTGGTTTAGGGCACATAGCAAAACGTCAAGTTTCATCCATGTGGTAGCATATGCCAGAATTCACTTGCTGTTTAAGGCTGAATAATATTCCAATGTTTATTATCCAGTGGTTCATCTATGGACATTTGGATGGCTTCCACCTAAGAGAATAATTGGATGGCCATTGAGAATAATTCTGTTATGACCAAGGGCACCCAAAAACTTGTTTGAGTCTCTGCTTTAGATTCTGGTGGGTTTATACCCAGAAGCAGAAATGTTGCATTTATGGTAATTAGATTTGTGAGGTTTTAACTACTGTTCAGTAGTTTCTTAAAATTTAGTTACAATGTGAAATCTGAAACCATATCATTGAACTTTCTGTAGCCTGTAACATTAAAATGTATTAGTCTGTCCTGCACTTTGAATGGACCTTTAACCCATTCATGATTCTTAATATAGTATGTGTGGGACATTTGGAAAATATTGGTTCAGTGAGTTTCGCAGACCTTCCAAAAAACGATTCATTTTTAATACAATATAAAACACTCACATTCATTAATATAACTGCTGATATCATCAGAGAAGTCCTTAAAGTACTTCAGAGCTGTCAAGTTCATGGTGATGGACACAAGATTTCTAAAATTCTAATTTTCACTTGAAAGCTGTGTGCCTTATCATGGCAGCCAGCACTGTCAATTGTTTTTCTTGAAATGACAGTTTCACTTTATTCATTTTCAAGAACAAATCTGCCAAATACTAAGTCTGAATCACTATGGCTTGTCATTTTTCCAGTAACAAGGATATTCCACAGGGGGTGGGGACAAAAAGCTCTAATTCTGTGTGCAGTTCAAGCAACTGCTGGAGTACTTTTTTCTAAGACCACTGTCACCCGTCAGTACACAGCAGAAGTGTTTTATGTGTACTTTCCATTTTGTTACACCAAATATTAAATACACAAGCATTCAAGGATCAGTCAGGATTTAATAAAACCAATCACTGTTACTCTGCCATCAGTCGTTAAAGGCACTGCATTGTTTCACTGCCTGAGAGTTGGACTGGAGAATAGAATGTCCACCAGTCAAGCTTGGCCACTGTTTGTATGAGGATGAGGCTCCCCAGGCTCACTGCTCCCCCCTACACCCCCTTTGCTTTTGCTCTATCAGTGCAAAAGCACCACAGTGAAAAAAAGCAAATAACAGTCTAGAATTTTTGAGAATAGTTTGGATTTTTCAGCCTTTATGGAAGTTGTCTCCAAGAGGCCCGGGTGTGGGGGCTGCATGAGGACCATGATGCTGAGTATGGTACTGCTTGGCTGGAAGTTCAAATACATACTAAACATGCATGTATAGTATGTATCTTCTTTATTTGCTTAAAAAATTATTTTGCTCTTCAAAGATATCACAGATCTACCATAGAAAATGAACTGAAGCAAATACATGACAATAAAAATCACCAGTAACCTCATCATCCAGAAAACAACTATTATTAATAATTTGCTCTCTGTGCTTTCAGATCTTTTACATTTACATTTATCTATACATAAACCTTTTAAAAACAGAATCTTATTAAACAAACTATCACACAGCCTGCTTTGTTTGTGTGACAACATGGGGTAAGTATTTTTCCATGCTATTAGCATTCTTATACAAATACAAACTGCAAATACAAAACACATATAAAACAAGTGGTTGGTATCACAGCCTTGGCTACATCAAAGTTTATTTTAACCAAATCCAGTTGTAAATGTAGTTTGTTTCCTATTGTTTTGCTATTAGAAAAATCCTCCACCCCACCTTCGTATACCTGAAGTCTTAGATGTATATTTACATTTTCTTTCCTATTATAAATTTGTGGAAGTGGAGTCAGTAGACCTTGGAATCCGCATGTCTTAAAATAAAAATGGATTTTGTCTAACTGTCCTTCAAAGAGTTGTATCAACCTACTGTTTCATGAACTGCAGGAGCACGCCCAGTCCCTGACGCTGTTCTTCGAGCTCTGGAGCTGCAGTGCCTTCTCCTTGTCTCATGCCGGGTGTTGATCTCCGTCTGTCCTATGAGGAGGGAGCATCTGTTCAGACTGCGTTCGCCCTCGGCCCATTCTGTCCAGTTGTTTAATGCACACCCTCCCCTCAACTACCACCCTCAACACACACACACACACTCATACAGCCCTTGGATCTGGAGATGGAGGACAAAGTGGACATCCATGCCATCCAGACCAGCTTCCCTCAGAGCTCAGTTACTCGCTCTGTGTTTCTGAAATGTCATCTACTTCTGAAGTCTGGGTTTCTAATACTCCAATCTGATGAAAGACCCAGAAGACCAAAATTTCCTGCAGGCCTGGCATCAGACACTCTTCCTCCCTCTGCTGCATGAACACACGGGTCAGACCACTTTTCAGCTCACTGTAAGGTGGCGGGTCTGGCTGAGTTCATAACCTGGTGCCCAAAACTGTGCTCATCCTACTTGACCAAAGTCATTCCCATACTGACCTCCTCTACCATTTTCAGTCTTGTGCATTTGACTGTATTCCAAGTTTTCAGAGAGAGAATGGAGTTCATTATAGCCACTGTTTTTTTTAAATTAAAGTATCATTGATATAAAAACTTATGAAGGTTTCACATGAACAACATTGTGGTTTCAACACTCACCCATATTATCAAGTCCCCCCACGCCCCATTGCAGTCACTGTCCATCAGTGTAGTAAGATGCTGTAGAGTCATTACTTGTCTTCTCCAAGCTGTAGTGCCTTCCCCATTACCTGCCTGTATTCCTATTACTAATTACAGTGCTCCTTAATCCCCTTCTCTGTAACCCCTTCCCTCCTTGGAGTCTCTGAGTCTGCTGCTGTTTTGTTCCTTCATTTTTTCTTTGTTTTTATACTCCACAAATACATGAAATCATTTGGTACTTGTCTTTCTGTGCCTGGCTTATTTCACTGAACACGATACCCCTCTAACTCCATCCATGTTGTTGCAAATGGTAGGGTTTATTCTATGCCTATGGCTGAATAATATTCCTTTGTGTATATGTACCACATCTTTATCCATTCATCTACTGTGGACACAGGCTGCTTCCATATCTTGGCTATTGTAAATAGTGCTGCGATAAACATAGGGGTGCATCTGTCTTTTGGAATCAGGTATCTTGTTTTCTTTAGGTAAATTCCTAAGAGTGAAATTCCTGGGTCAAATGGTATTTCTATTTTTAATTTTTTTGAGGAGACTCCATAGTGCTTTCCACAATGGTTGAACTAATTTACATTCCCACCAGCGGTGTAGGAGGGTTCCCCTTTCTCTGCATTCTCCCTAGCATTTGTTGTTGCTTGTCTTTTGGATGTTGGCCATCCTAACTGGTGTGAGGTGATATCTCATTGTGGTTTTAATTTTCATTTCCCTGATGATTAGCAATGTGGGGCATCTTTTCATGTGCTTGTTGGCTATACTAATTTCTTCTTTAGAGAAGTGTCTGTTCAGATTCTCTTCCAATTTTTAAATCAGGTTATTTGTTCTTTTGGGCCACTGATTTTTAAAAAAATTATTATAAATTGTGGTAAAATACATATAACATTACTGTTATCATTTAAAAACATTACCATCTTAACCATGTTTAAGTATACAGGTCAGTGGCATTAAATAAATCTACACTGTTGAGCAACCATCACCACCATCCATTTCCAGAATTTTCTATCTTCCGAAACTGAAACTCTGTCCCTGTTAAACACTAATTCCCCACTACCCTCCCCCACCCCGTGGCAACCACCACTTACCTTCTGTCTCTATGCATCTGGGAGATCCATATTCTAGATATGAATAAGTGGAATCATACAGTGTCTGTCCTTCTATGACTGCCTTATTTCATTTGGCCTGAACCACCGATTTTGACAGCCTGCATTCAGGAGTCCCTCACTGGCGGCATGGTTTAATTTGGGTATATTCACAAATGGATAATCTTAGGAGTTATTTAATGGGGTGTATACATAAAGCTCCTGCTCTTGGGAGAGATGCTTTGTCTCAATGCATTTTCAGAAGAAATGGCTCACTATCGCTGTTAATGATGATTAGTCTTCCAATGAATGTCTATGGATTCAAACAACAAAACCAGAATTTCAGGTGTGTATTTTCTTGCCATTTCTGTGATAAGGAGCATACCACCCTGGGCCAGGAGGATTTCAGAATCCCTGGGCCTTCATTGTCTTTACTCCTCTGTAATGGAAGGACTCATTCTGCAGGCTGGTTTGGACCCACTCTTGTTGCTTTCACAGAACGTTGCAGAATTTGCTTGTCTTCATAGAAACTCAGAGTCTCACAGCATGCACCCTGCATAGCTGTGTCTGGCATTCTCAGTCTTTATCACAATTAATTTAAGCTATTGGCAAACTCTAAAGAATGCAAACACTCACAGGACTGCAGAGTATGCTGTGTGGAAGCTGAGACTGTCTATTTTGAAGGGGGTCTCCTGAGGGCTTGCTTTGTGCCAGGCACATGATTTCATTTTGTAAAGTTGCTATGAGTTGCTCATTATGAATGCTATTTTTGCAAATGAAGAAACAGAGGAGAGAGGGGATAATCCACTTCCTAAAATTGTAGTACATAGTGAGGCAGGGTTTGAATTCACACAGTCCTGTTCTAGAGTCTAGGGGCTTAGTAAACCTATGCTAAGATTCTTGATCTCTCAACAGAGTGCTGAGTATTTAGTGGACTGAGCTCATGAAGAAAAAACCTTTTAAGAGTGATGGAACAGTTTTATCTACAAATGTTTATAAAATATGAAGTACTAGAATGATATTCTTTGTGATTATGTAAGCATTTGATGAAAAGTTTTTTAATAAGTGGTTTTTGAAAATATTTTGGAGACTTTGTAGGCAGAAACATTGGAAAACTTCATTTACAAATGATTTTGCAATAGAACGATGATAATTTAATTTGGCCAGAAATGAAAATGATAAAAAAATCACTTAAATTTAATAAGTGGAAAATAGTAGTTTG